CACTTCTACCATTACAAAAAGCCTCCTAACTGATCTTAAATCCAAACCAGCTCTAATCTGGTATTCTACCTACCAGCCAAAGTAAAAGTCCACACTCTTAACTTTTAAGCATCCCAAGAACAAAAATTTTTTTTAAATTCTGCAAAGTTTCTACACATAAGTAAAAATAAGTAAAATGTTTTCTTTGATATAAGGAGACTGATTCATAGTGGGATAGGGAGAGGGAGCATGGGAGGAATAGACAAACTCTAGATAAGGCAGCAGGTTGGAGGGGAAGGGAGGGGACATGAGGTTAGAAATGATGGTGGAAGTGATGATCATTATTATCCAAAGTACATGTATGAAGACATGAATTGGTGTGAATATACTTTGAATACAAGAGATATGAAAAATTGTGCTCTATATGTGTAATAAGAATTATAATGCATTCCACTATCATATATAAATTAAAAATAAATAAAAATGTGTTTCATATTTTGATAAAATACAAAATATTTTAATAAAATTCTATTGAAACTGAAAGTCAGCCTAGCATTCTAAGTTGTTTAAAATAGGGCAACAATCTCCTCTTGAGTAATTAGAGTTTGTGCAGATATAATGCTAGCTCACTTTAAAAGTTTCCATTTATATTTTCCCCACCCCCTTTTTTTAACCAGGATTGAGAATTGAACAGAAGACACTCTACCTCTAAGCTATACCACCAGCCCTTTTTATTTTGTATTTTGAAACGGGGGTCTCATTAAATTGTCCAGACTAGCATCAAACTTGCCATCGAGTGGCCTCGGCCTCTCAAGTAGCTAGGATTACAGGCATGTGCCACCACACCCAGCTTCCATTTACATCCTTTATTACAGAAAGTACTATATCCTTATTGCCCAAGTATTAGTTCATCTTCATTGCCTATATCAACTATAACATTTCTGCCATCATTCCATTTGATATATATATATTTTTTAATTTTTCACAGTGACCCATACTTCACAGCTATTCAGAAGGATGAAGCAGGAGATTCACAAATTTGAGGCCAGTCTCACTAAAGTCCCTTAGAGGGAGCATGTCTCAAAATGAAAAATAAAGAAGGGCTATGGATGTAGCTCAGTGTTAAAGCACCCCAAGGTTCAACCCCCAGAACAACAACAAAAAAAATTTAAACTCCTTGCTTTGACAACAATTTTGCTTACAAAATGTTCAATGAAATTACAGGCTTCCTAATCTGGTGGGTTTTTTGTTGTTGTTACTGTTGTTGGTTGGTTTGAGATGGGAGTCTTACTATGTTTCCCAGGCTGGCCTCTAACTCCTAGGTTCAAACAATCCTTCTGCCTCAGACTCCTGAGTAACTGTTCTATGGGCAAGCACCACCAGCTCTAGTATTTCATTCTTAATCATAATGCCTGAGGACATGATAAAAAGAACAACTATAACATTCTTCCAAAGTTCTTCCAGTGATCTGCTCTTTTTCCTAGAAAATCCTAAATATAGATCTAATTAATTGGCTAACTAAAAGACAAAGTCTTTACTTCAGGAAATTTGAATTGCTATGTGACCCTTATACCCTTATTAAACGGAAAATCAGAATCTCCACTGAAATCTCTTAATTGGACAGCAACTTCATCCATTGTGAAGCATGTCCTCATGATGAATCCTCTCAAGTGACCTCAACTCCTTTCAAAGAAGCCTCATCCTCTCCTGAACCCCTCTTAAAAGCCAAGAACATACCACCTGGCAAAATTCTTTCATTTTTTTCTTCTTCTCATTTTTCCACTGTCTTCTGTCTCCATTTTTATCAGGAAAAACACGTTTTCTGCCAAAGCCCACATCAGAACCTCTGGGCTAGAGGTTCCCTTGAGGTTAAAATTTCAGTCCTGATTATTAAATAGCTCAATGCTTTTAAATATGTTTTAAATGACAAGCAAAAAATATGGCTCTTATATAGGACTCAATTTTGCCAAGTTTTTTTTTTAATAACTTGGGCCATGGTATTATGATATCTGAATTCTGGTGCACATAATTTTAGTTATTGTTGGGTCTCTATGGCTATAGCATAGACAAAACTCCTTGTGTTCAATATCTACATCCCAATGCCCTACCCTAAGTAAGAAAGTATCCTGCCAGCTACAGCCTCTCAGTAACATTCAAGTCTTACCATTCTAATCATAAATTGGCTAATGAAATGTAAGACTAGTACGACTAGTACTGAGGAAAGTAGAAAAAGAATCTTATATAATTTATTTTTTTAAAGTCTGGTTTCCTATTTATTATTCTACACAACATAGGTAGATTGCAGTGTTAAAGAGATTCCCCTAGTGTGTCAGATCTTTGCCCCAACAGAAATGTCTCTTTATATTTAGTAGACTGTTAGAAGTGAGGTTTTTTTCTTTGTTGTTGTTTAATTGAACAATAAGTAAATATGTCTGTCATTTTTCAAAATTGGAAATCCTCTTTGCCGAAACTTCAGTGAATCTGACCAAATTATATTCTGTTTGGCTTTTCCATGTAACATGTATCATCATTTTTCAACAGTATAACTGACAAAGGAATACCCAATAAGCTGCAAGATGTCAGGAGCTACTTGGCCATAGATAAAACTGTATGCCTATCCACATATGGCAAAAGAAATTCAGGCAAGAGGCCTACATTACTTTGTATATTGGAGCCCATTTTCCTGTATTACTACTTTCTAAGTGCATCAGTCTTCAGCTTTTTCCCCATTTTCTGCTGACAGTAATACCCCATTCTTGGTCAGGCTAAATTTATAAATTAATATCCTGAAAGTCTGCTGCAGTTTCTCAAAATATTCCCTTATACACCAAGTGTTCATTGTCTTCCTACCCTGAGTTCACTGGTGTCAACTGCTGCAACACGTTCTGTAGCAACTGATTCTCCTTAATAAGTGAGGTTCATTTACCACTATCATCTAGCAGTCATTATTTTCATTATAACTTAAATACGAATAAATAAAATAGCCATGTGATTTATTCATGAAGATTACAGGGAGTATAGAGGTAAGATAAGAACCTGACTTCCAAACCAATGGCTTTTAACTTGAAGTTTCACTTTAAACTCTTTCAATAAAGTTACACAAATTAGCAATCAATGAAAAATTACCTACAATGTCAAATCCTAAGCATGGGGAAAAGTCCATGCAAAAACTTATCTTCATAAAATGGAACTATTCATTTGTATATTCAACAGCAGTACTTAGAATTTAACCCACATTGCCTGACACTTTAAAGTAAGTTTTAATGTAGATATCCAAAACTTGCTACAAAGTTAGCATTACCCATAACCTGCCTAACAAGTTTTGATAAAATCGTGAATTAGGAAACCTTTTCTCCATGTGGGCCATTGGGTCAGACGTAGGCAATATTGGGAAAGGAGCACATTTAAAATTCCTGTTTCTTATCCATGCCCTTTGAAAAAAAGTGAAATACAATTAATGTCACTTGCTTCTGCTACATGATTTAACTAAGCTAGGGATATTTTCTAAATCAAAATTGAGATGTTATTTTTGTGTTTTTAAAAATCATTTCTAAGGAAAAATTTTATGAAAGTATGAATTTTAATTATACTTGATCATATACTTAACAAGCTACCTTCTCTGAAGAACACGGTTATCTAAAATTAGAATTATCCCAGAACACTAGAGATGAGTGTAATTGTAATGTACATCCCTTTCTTATACTGTGGAAAGAAGAAAGAATAAATTCTTACTTATCAAAAGAAGTTATAAAGGCAACTGGTCTATTTACCTTGGTCAACCTACACCAAAAGCTTCCTGTTTTAGGCTCTGAGTACTAAAGTTAGTTTAGGCTCTGACTACCCAAGCCATGCTATCCTTACCTCCCAAACACCTTGGTTTATTCTTATTTCTGGCTTGCTATTCTCTCTTTAACCATAAAATTTCTTTTGGATACCTTGCCAATGAGCTGTGGAAATGCTGCTCACACAGAAGTACAATGAGGTTACATGACCCCAGAAAAAAAACTGATTAGAAGTAATCAGAACATTTTTCATTGTAATCTGGGCACTGAAAACTGAAAAACTAACCAGATTCCCTCCTCAATGCTATTTAAACTGTCACTAGGTCTACACCAATAATTTTTCAAAAGAAAAATCACCAGCTCACAAAATCAGATTGAAAAAGCATAGTGTCTCAAGGGTACCAAATGGGCTTGTCAGCTTAATAATGATAATGATGACAACAACAAGTGCAGAGTGCCTACTGCAGTTCAGGACTATGCTAAACACATCACATTGTCACACACATTAGCTCATCTGATTTCACAGCGCTATAAGGCAGGCATGATTAGCTGCAACTTTTTCCTCATTAACTGAGGAAACTCATAAGGAAGTCAGGTGACCTTCCAATAACACACAGTAACAGATGGAGCTAGAATTCAGATCTCAGAAGAGCGGTTGATGCAATTATGTTGCCTATTCCTTCTTGTAACAAACATCTGAATGCTTATTATGTGCCACACACTTTCTAAGCACCCATGTTAAGAGTGTTTTCACCTCTTAATATGTATTCTCTAAACTTTCTACCGGAATTATTTCCAGAACTAGCCAAAAGTAAAAATTCCCAAAGTTTTATATTATCTCTGTTGTAAAGAAAAGCAAAGATCTCAGGGGAAACCATGCTGAAATAAAGATAGGCTTCATTAAAATATCTACCTATCTCCCCTTACATGGCTCTGTATATCTCTTGAGGATTGAGATCTTGTCTCACTTGATCTCGGTAATCTCAGTGCTAAGCTATTACATATACATTATTATTTCTTATGTGTCTGTTTTCTACCATAATCAAGAAGCTGTCAGACAACCATGGGTTTTGTTTTTCCAATCATTTTTGTATCCCCAGTGGTAGAGCATAAAATGAAGCTAATACTATACACCTCATAGTTTGTGATATTACTTGAGTTTATATAAAATATTTACCAAGGCACATCATAGGAATTCAGTAACTAATGGTGTTCTTCTCTTCTCATTTACCTTTCTAGCACTGAAGCAGCCAACCCATGTCTCCTGCTGCTGACACAAATGAACCAAAAGGCAAGGCAACACATGGCTTAACAGCTAGCAATTAACTGAAGAGCTCATCTGCTACACATTTCCTATGTTATTTTTCTGGACACCCCACCCTGAAAAAGACTCAGGAAACATTTCTAAGCAGTGACAACTTAAAACTGAATCACAAGGTTCTAACTATATCTGCTGGAATGCCTTACCAAAGGTAACTCTGAACACTGTATACATGATTCACTCAAAAAACAAGAAAGGCAAAGGTCTTCTTTCCCTGTGAAGATTAACAGGAATACCTACAACAACAATGCTTTTTTGAAGAAAAAAGCTATGGGCATGTTATTTGAACAGGGCAATTTAGTTATATCACAAGTTATTTCTTGATGTTATTAGGAGTTTGAAATATAAAAATTAGAGTGCCTCTTTTAAACAGTAGATACTTGTTCAAACTATGGTAAGCAGAAATTGACTCTTGAATATACATCATAACTAAGCATGATTAAGATAGTCATAAGGGGCTGGGATTGTGGCTCAGCAGTGGAACGCTCGCGGGCGGGACCCGGATTCAATCCTCAGCACCACATAAAAAAACATAAAGGCATTGTGTTGTGTCCATCTACACCTAAAAAATAAATATATATATAAAAAGATAGTCATAAAATATTTAAGCCACCTAAAATAATCATTGCTTTTATATAGCCAACTAAATCTCCCAACTCCTACTTCCTCACCTATAACCTTTCCCAATCTAGACTAGTTAATCAGTACTCAAAAGTTATAAGCCTCAAAAATGCACTTCTCCCCAGGCACAGTGGCACATGCCTGTAATCCCGGTGGCTCAGGAGGCTGAGGCAAGAGGATCATGAGTTCAAAGACAGCCTCAGCAACTTAGCAAAGCCCTAAGCAACTCAGTGAGACCCTGTCTCTAAATAAAATATATAAAAATGGTCTGGGGATATGGCTCAGTAGTTAAATGCCCCTGGGTTCAATCCCCAGTACCCCCCCCCAAAAAAAAAAATGCACTTCCCAATTCCTGACCATACCACTTCTTAACTGGGTGGCCTTGGGTAATTTCCCAACAATTCTAGGCCTCAGTTCCATCATCTGCCAAAGGAGATGACCAAGCATCCCTCCTGAAGCAAGTCATTGAGGGACCGCACAGGCTACACAATATCTAAAGAGCACTAAATAAACAGCAGTTATTATAATTATCCATTCTGATATTTAAAATTAAAGGTGACGATTAACTATTAAGAATACCAAGGTGTCTAGCGATTAGAGAAATGCAAATCTAAACGACTCTACGATTTCATCTCCAGTCAGAATGGCCATCAATCATCAAGAATACAAGCAACAATAAATGTTGGCAAGGATGTGGGGGAAAAGATAGACACGTACATTGCTGGTGGGATTGAAAATTGGTGCAACCACTATGGAAAGCAATATGGAAATTCCTCAGAAAACTTGGAAGCCAGGCGCAGTGGTGCACGCCTGTAATCCCAGTAGCTCAGGAGGCTGACAGGAAAATCGCAAGTTCATAGCCAACCTCAGCAAAAAGTGAGGTACTAAGCAACTCAGTGAGATCTTGTCTCTAAATAAATATACAAAGTAGGGCTGAGGATGTGGCTCAGAGGTCACGTGCCCCTGAGTTCAATCCCTGGTATCTCCCCCCCACAAAAAAGAAAAGAAAACTTGGAATGGAACCACCATTTGGCCAAGCTATCCCACTCCTCAGTGTCTACCCAAAGGACTTAAAATCATCATGCTACAGTGACACAACCACTTCAATGCTTATAGCAACACAATTCATAATAGCCAAACTGTGGAAGCAACCTAGATACCCTTCAATAGATGAATGAATAAAGAAACTGTGATATAAATAGACAATGGACTACTATACAGCAATATAAAGAGAATAAAATTATGGAATTTGCAAGTAAATGGATGCAGTTAGAGAATATCATGCTAAGCAAAGTAAGCCAATCCCCAAAAACCAAAGGCCAAATGTTTTCTCTGATGTGCTAATCCATAATGGTGGTGGGGGGGAGGCAGGATGAGTGGAGGAACTTTGAATTGGGCAAAGGGAAGTGAGGAAGCATGGGGATAGGAAAGATGATGAAATGTGATGGACATCATTATCCTAGGTACATGTATGATTGCATGAATAGTGTGACCCTACTTTGTGTACAACCAGAGAAGTGAAAAATTATGCTCTGTGCACAATGAATTGAAGAGTATTCTGCTGTCATGTATAACTGATTAGTATAAATTTTTTAAATTTTAAATGTGATCCATATACACAATGAAATATTACTTAGCCTTAAAGAAGAATGAAATAATGGCATTTGCAGGTAAATGGGTGAAGCTGGAGACTATCATGCTAAGTGAAATAAGCCAAACCCAAAAAACCAAAGGCTGAATGTTTTCACTGATGAGCAGATGCTGATCCATAATGGGGAGGGGGGTATGAAGGGACTTTAGATTGTGCAGAGGGGAGGGAGGAAAGGGGAGGGGAGGGGTATGGGGGTGAGAAGGACAGTGGAATGAGATGGATATTATTATCCTATATACATGTATGACTACACTACCGGTATGTGACTCTGCACCATGTTCAGCCAGAGGAAGGAGAAGTTGTGCTCCACTGATGTAAAATGTGTCAAAATGCATTCTACTGTCATGTATAATTCATTAGAACAGGTTAAAAAATTTAAAAAAGAATACTAAGGAAGGAGGAGCTAGGAGTATGGCTCAGTAGAACACTTGCCTAGTAGGGGTGAGGGTGAGACCCTGGGTTCAATCTGAGGGCTGAGGGGGATGGCCATGAATGAATACCATAATCTATTGATACATATAATAATCCAGCCAGAAAACTGGCTCTTTTCTATTATGAAATGCCCTTTCCTCCTTTGATCTTCAACACCTGCTCTCCCCTATGCTCCTCGTAGCCAACTCATTTTCATCCTTAAATCTCAACATAAATAGCTCTCAATTCAAATCTCCCTTCCTCAGAGAAGCCTTTCTGGAAACTATCATCCCCCAAAGTCTCACTGTTATAACCCTATTTTAATTCTTTCATAGCCTCAGTAATTATGATCTCAGTACAGAGAACTTACCTTTTTCACAGTTATTTTCTATTAAGCACTTAATGTATGCTCAATAAATAATTAAATGAAAGATGTTGAAAACTCAAATACTTTTAAAAAGTTAACACTGAGCTCATACAACATAAAAACAATTTCAGGTTAATATGTGTTAAAACAAATATCTGAAAAACAAGGATAAGAGAAAGAGAAGGTATGAAGAGGTATAACACAATAGCTTTTTTTTTTTGCTGCTTGCTGAACTGCAGAGAGGAATTCAAATGATAGAATTTACATAAGTGATAATGTAAAATTATGTTCATTCAAATGTCTTAGGACTATAACTCTACTTTTTTACAAGGGGAGAAATCATTTCCAAGACCTCGGCAAAAAAAAAAAAAAAAAAAAAAATAGTAAAGGTGCAGCTAAGTCTGTTTTCTGGAATAAGCTGAAATTCAGGACTTATCACTGCATAAAGTAACAGTTTTTCCATTTGTCTAAGTATATTCTACCACAGATCTATACAGATCAATTTCCACCTTGCCTGGAATACCACCAGATGAAGACCCATATATGTGGTTTCACACATGACTGATAAAACACTAGGCTTCAAAAGCATTCCATGAGGACTAGTGGGAAACATTTTAAAGTTCCTAGCACAAAACTAGCTGATATTATTTCTACTGATACAATTATCATGCTATAGATGGTAGGATTATAAAGGATTATTTTACTTCATAAACATATATATTAATAGGAATTGTGACCTATTCACAGAATTGGGAACATCTCCAGCAATACCACATCTAGCAGCAGGGAAGCAGATCTCCCAGGCCTCCTGCTGATGTCCCTCATATTGGCCAAAGCCAACCAGAAACCAAAAAGCAAGGGCTCAGCTGATGTAACGCATGTAAACTACTTCCCAGAGCACAGTACAGGATAGAAAAAAGATCTGGTGAAGCAAATGGAGAATGTGTACAGAAAGGTACTCCAAGTGATTCCCACACAGCAAAACACAAACATATGGTTCACTTAAAATTTGAAAGTTTAGTCACTTTTGTTGCCAACTTCTTTTTTAGTAGGGTAAATATTAACAACCTCAACTTAAATTTCTTATCCAAAAAAAATCAGAATAATTCCCCAAAGTGAACAACATATCAAAAATTTTGGTACAGTTCAGCCAGAAATGACTGAGAAAGAGATTAAGATTCATAGCATGTCTCTGAGTTTCCAAAAGTATGTTATTCAAAGAGAACATAAAGGAAGAATTTAGATTTCATAAAATATATGAGGAAAGTTCTCTGAATATTTCCATACTCTATTCCAAACAAGGTAAATTTAAGTTAAAACTCAACTGTATAAAACAAGTAGGGCCAAATAGTTATAATCCAGGCCTCTACTTTGTTCCAAAATGCTCACTTAAAGGAAGAAAAAAGTCTGATTCAACAAATAGCCAGTTCAACAAACTTTTTTTCAATTCCTTCCTTTTGTGGCTAGAAGAGAAAAATTAAATGATATACAGAAAACAAACCAACAAACTTTTATCAGAATCAAGTTTCATTAATTGAAGTTAGTAGAACTGAACTGCCCAATAGTCAGCATAGGCACTGTCCTATTGGTTCACTGGCTTATTTTTATCTTCAGTGCCTAAACAATGTCTAGCACCCACCAGATAGTCAATAAGTATGTACTAAATAATGAGTGGATGAATGAACAAATGTTATGAGAAAAGGGAAAGCACAAAATGCTGGAGGTTATTCAACAAAAGCAAATTGTTTCAAAATCTTCACCACCACCACCCCCCTCCCCTAAAGCCACCTGAAAGGAATCCAAACTGGGAGTTGGGAAAGGAACAACTCCTTAGGGCATATTAGTTGCGTAGAATGATGTCAGCATTATGATAATGACATATGTCATCAGTATGATACAATTACTAATAGTAGCAGGGGTTCCACAACCACCTGGCTTGGTTATGTTATTACTGCCAGATTTTTTTCTATACTTATTGACTTTGATTTGGCATAATGGTGATACAACATTTAGAGCATGCTGGGGGTACCTCAAACCCCTCCCTCCTGAGAAAGCCAACACTGGCATCCATGGGCTTCTGTTTGCATCTGCTACTAAGGGAAGCTGTAGTTGATGTCTAGTGCAGAGAGAGAGGCTGTATCAAATCTTTTCTGCACATAGATGAGTATTATCAGTTAGGGTCCTAGCAGAAAGCAGCACACTACCTGATATATTCAAGAGAATGTAATGAAG